ACGCAAACAATTATTTCAAACATTATGTAATTTTGTTTCGTAAATTAACAAACAGAAGTCAAAATATCTCGTGTGTATTTAAAAAAAACAATAAATATCATTGGAATTATGCAATTCCGTTGGACATCTATTCGCCAATAGCAAATAACAAAACGTGTTTTTGCTTGTTGTAATTTTTTCCTCCGCACATTTAAAAAGCATCAATTCCACAAAGTGCCGCAAGTGTACACATTGCAGCTTAACGATCCACTCACGGGCAGTCAGAAATGCATAAATAATGCAATCATTCTATCTTTTAGCCGAAAAATATTCGGTAGGTTTTGGAATAATTTATTTGCATAGCCGACGCTACAATTGCACAAACATTTATTGTTNATTCTATCTTTTAGCCGAAAAATATTCGGTAGGTTTTGGAATAATTTATTTGCATAGCCGACGCTACAATTGCACAAACATTTTATTGTGTAATAACACAATAAAAGTCTCATGCAAAATATATATTGTTTTCAAAGGGAAAATCAGTTTTTAAATAGATTCACTTAAATCTAGTCGAGCGTAAAAAAATTGAATTATCACGAAAGAGCAAACGACGCAATAATGAAAATATCGAAAAAATTTTACATTTATTTTTCAATAGAAGAGACTTGAAAACAAACAATCGTTGTTATGGCTATATACCCATTGTCAAAATACCTATAAAAGTAACTTGTTTACCCCTCCAAACTGGATCAATAGTATAATTTACAATTCTATTTGTACAATTAAATGTTAAACTACAATTTACTGTTACTCGTTATAAACTATACTCCAACTAGCAACCACAACTTTACGAAACACTTTGAGAATTGTTTTTGGCCATTAATTTTTAACTCGAGTGTTCGCATTAGTGAACGTATTCCACAAAGTAATTATTATGTTTTTTTTTATCAAGAATATTTTTTCATCACGAGTGTCACCTTTTACGTTATCCTCATTAATCAACCCTAAGCCAGAAGAATAATTACACGTATAGAATACGAGCACGTTATTAGATACGGGCAACCCTAAAAAAGTTCCATGGCAATAAAAATAAGCGATAATGTTGGTGTTATTACCGTTCATTGTAACAGTCGTTTTGTTTGAAACTCTAAAAATTGTTATTAGTGTAATAATTCTCGGGATCAGCCGTTCCGGGGACAGTTGAATGCTGTTATCGGCGATCATGCACGAGACGGAATGTGCCGGTGCGTGTAATCCGTAAAAGCTTAACACGGGGAGAATTAACGTAGAAAGCTTATAAGGCGTGCGGACTGACGACAACGAGAAAACAGTTTTAATGTGTAACTCGTCCCGACATAATATTATGAAAAAATATCACCGAGGTGAAGGCGACGGCTAAGGCCTCACGACGACGGCGGCCCGTCCCAGGTAACCAACGCCCATCATTGTTTGGGTAAAACTCATAAAGGACGGGAAAATATTCGTTAAGCCCGGGACTTTAAATGCCGGCGTGTCACTCTCTCCCGCGCACCGACGACATTACCACATGATCAGTACGTCGCCATTCCGTATGCATTGTATTTGTGTTTGTATGCACACGCTACATGTCATTACGGTACGTCGTTGTCGTCGTAATAACAATATGGACCGCACAGACTAAATACTGTCACTAGTATTACCTACACCCAAGTAAACAGACGTTCCTCGGGCCGTGTACACCCGTCGAGAACGGCAATAACTGTGATCGTAACGATTGTTGTGTAAAGTCCTCAAGCTCACTGGCACATCGCGTTACAGTACCCGTACGCGAACACTCGACACACGAAATAAACATCTCGATCCGCGTTGATGAGTATTGCCACACGATTAACATTTTATTTTGTCATTGCCGCGTTAATTGAAAATTGTAAATGTGCGCCGCGAAAAGTACGAGTGTTATCGGTTGGCGAAAACCGGTTGTCCCAATGGGAACCCGTTTCCATAAAGAAAACGTCCCACTTGTAGATAAGTTTATCGCTGTTGTTTAATTATTGTTGAAAATATACCTAAACGTGTTATAAATCACACGGCCGCGTTTTTAGCGTATAGCACTTTTGTAATTGCATTGGGATCACTGGGTAACGGCCGCGTGCTGGCCGATCATAGTTTACATGTCAGCAAAAAGCGGCACAAACGTTACAAATCATTTACAGAAATTACACGAGATCTCATTTGATCGCTGTGCTGATATAAGCACCAATTTGACCTCGTTAAAAACAGTAAATTTTAATAGTTTCATAAAAAATTACAAATTCAATGACTGACCGAGAGGAGGACTGTTTTTTTAAATGGGATTTACATAGAAACACGATAGGCGAATGAAATTCTGCACCTTTATTTCCAATACGCTCTGACAATATGTCAAATAGATGACAGGTTTTGTGTTTGTTTCTTTCTTCTTCGCAAAAATATCGTTTCTTTAACGGGTAACTTGAGAAGTAGAAAATAATATTCAAATTTTATCCGATATAAATCAATACACTCAAGTTTTCTCGGTATCATAAACATTTCCATGTTTTATATAAAATGTCGAATACGAGGTAAAAATGTTTATAAATTCATTTATATTATATTTAAATAAATTTAAAAGAAGTATACTTTATTCCTTTTTATTTGCATATTTGGTGTTTACTAATAACACAATGAATATTCGTGGGAAATAAAGTAACAAAACGTAATAATTTGAATAGAATTCGTTCAGTCGCTTTTGCGCTGGTGCACACCTAAACCAGTAATTTGAAAACAGTGTCTCACTAACGGTAGCAACAGGTTTTTTTATTTCCTAATCGCCCCTGTCAGTTGTTGTACAATAACGGCGACCGAAGTGATACGATTGAAATCGTCGTGAAATGCAAAAAACGACCAGGTCTCGTTGCATGGGAATCGAACGGCATACACGTTTGCTAGCACACGCTGCCCAACAGACCGGAGGTGCATCGTCATTCGCCACGGGTTTCGCGTATGACCTTCCCAGGCAGCCGGTGATTCTGCTGCGATATACGCTCAAGTGCCGCGCGCACTGATGTAAATATTACTATGGTATTTCATCGGCATTTTTATCGCCGTGTACCGAGTTTGAGAGCCGCGCGAGAGTCCAAAAAGACGAAGGAAGAAGACGTTCGACCAGTGTACGCATAGACAACAACGTGCTACGAAGAAAAAAAAATCTTGGTAATAAAAATAAATTGTACAGCCTCGATGTGTATAAGGTATTTTTATCGAACAGGGCAACAATAGACAGTATACGTAGCAGGTCCAGTAAAAAATTACAAGTTTGCTGTTGATAGTTGTTTTGTTTTTGGAGTCCTAAACATTTATTACTTGTCGCCTGCCCGCGACGACGACGCACAGTAAGCGCGACAATCGTGTCGTTAGCAAAACGCTTAAACACAAACGTAAGGTGGACATTACTATGCGGTTTCTGTTAATTGTTGCGATCGAAACTGACAACTGAGAAATAACTGTGAACGGTTTCTTGAAAACGTAACGAACAATCACAAAGAAATGCTCGCCGGCTAATTGAACTCTGCGCGGTCAAAACTCGTTGAATACCTTCGTAACGAACTGCAAAAGTCGATTAAACGGCCAAATCACCGTACACACGGGCGCGGAACAGATAGAAACGCTAAATGCGATTAGCGAAACGGCTTGTGTGCGGTCATTGGCCAGTGCCAACTGTGCCATTTTCTCTTTTTCTGAACAATATCAGCTTATTAACGAAGAATATATTTTCTAAGTCTGCGATCTGCCGTGCCAATTGAAATATCGTTATACACGAAAGCGATCCATAAACATTTCCGTGATATTTCTAATTGACTTGTTATACCCAAAATATAACGCAGACATGGCGTCAAGCCGATTGCGCCTCCGGACACGATTAGTGACGAATACCGCCGTTTGCACATAATAAATAACACGTTTTAATTGCGCATTAGGCGGTGGACAGGGCGGAGTAGATTTTCCAGGGAAATTTTTATCCTCAAAACTACTCGACGGCCTTGGCGGTCGGATTCATTCAGTCCAAACGACAATAGCGTGTGTATATTTCGAGCTTAACATGTTTTACAACAATACACCGCAACGTCGTGTCGGCTATGTTGTGTTCTATTTATAAGGAAAATCAATATCACGTCAGAGGTGATTTGTACATAAGCCGCGGAACGTTTAATAGTTAGCCTATCGAAAACGCTTTCTACGACTAGATCATTAATTTTCATCAATACGTTATTTTAACGACAATACCCAAATAACTATGAAATTCTGTAAAACGGTGAATACCGTTTAATTAACAGTATTTTCAGGACATGGGCATATGGCGACTTTTACGGACGGCCGACATATTCCATTATCCGCGATCGAAAGTCGGGCCTATTACAATGGTCGTTAAATTAGAGACTCGGATATCAACAAATACGCCAGCCGACGGCAAAGCTCGGAGTAGTTGATAAACCTTATCAACACCGATAATCACGTATTATAAATTTTTAAAAATATTATTCGTTCCAAAATAATCCACATTAATAGTTTTCTTCACTATGTGCACGCGTACTAAACACGAGTTGCAGACGACGTGTTAATTTAAATGTGAACGGTCGGTGGCTGTGACGTTACAAAGATGTATAAAGTTACTCAATAACAATAAAATAAAAAACGGTAAAACCAGTCTTACGGCGACCCCGCGGCCGTTTGATCATACTAATTAATTAAAAAACTACATGGACCCGATCCGACCACACAGTCGACTGAAAAAAAAAACATCACTAATTTTTTATTTGTCCGCCGTTTGCGAAAAATGACAACGTCTCAGAATGAAGGAATTGCTCCAGATAATACTTGATATCAGGTAAAAAGTCGACAACTGAATACATTTACTACTTTACCACGATTTTTGCACGGTCAAATGCGACAGTATACGCTAACGCTGTTCCGACTGAGCGGACCAGCTCCACAAATACAATTAATAAGAAAAAGCTCATAAGTACCTGCATCGCGAGCGTATCCGGCTGCCGCCAACAGAATCGCGGTGGCGACCACGACGTGCAGGCCGACCGTAAACGACGGCAGTGCCATGCCGTCCGTTCGGGTCACAGTCTGCACCATTTGATGAGCACAGCGCACTTTATGAACTCAGAACATCACAGCGACACAAGACGCACGACCGAACGTAACGTCAGTGATGACCGCAAGAGACATGCACACGCGGCCGAATCGGATGAAAAAAAAAAAAAAAGCACGAACTAGACGGAAAACCTAGTAGGAAAAAAATAAACGGTCGCAAAAGTCACAAGTTAAATTATTATTTATTTCAAGTGCACTGAATCGCGCGCGTTGTCACTGAATGCGTCAAAGTCACAAACTACCGGCGGTGGTGGTCACGACTCGGCACTACCTACTTGTTGACTGTGTTTGCCTGTGGAATGAGCCACTGCCGCTGGCCCGCTCTAGCCGTCTCTCTCTCTCTCTTTCCCCCGGCCGGTACACGTTGAACTAAACCGAATACGCACGCACGCACCACGACCACACGACGTCGTTGGACGAACGGGGCACACGTACGGCGTGGAAAGCGACGTACAACCGGATCGTACACACACACACACACTCGACCGGCATGCACCGAAGAAAACCGGTGACCGGTTCGGCTGTACAGGTGCCCGCGGTGAGGTGAGGTGGAACCCGAGCAACGCCTTTGAGTTTAATTATTTTTCTACCTGCTGGCGCGTGCAGGCGCCCGCCAATCCACCCCCGACCACACCGAAAATTAAACAAACTACCCCGTCGGTATCACTGCGGTGGTCGTGCGATGCGGTACGTGCCATTGACTGATAACAATCAGTATCTATTTGGGCACTTATTTTGTGCCGGAAGTGTCGACCTCGACCGGATTTACGCGTCCTATGCGATACCCCAAGGAGTGTCCGTCTTGTAACAAGTGAACAATTTTATATAAATAAAAATAAAACACTTTCCCACACTGCTACTCTTTTTTTATTCTTCTAAACAAAAAAATTAATGAAAAATAAATTTCGATAACAAACAATTTTTTCGCTCTTACTTTTCGAAGTTAACTAGTGAGTAAACTAAAAATTAAATTTACTTAAACGATTTTAACACTTTATAAATTATTAAAAAAACTTTTGGTATTTTTTTAATAATCGTTATTAAATTTCATTAGGAAATCTATCGTGATGAAAAGCATTCGGTGAATTATATTTTTCAAACACGTCTATTGCAGTATTTTAAGGTACCACCTACCAACGAAGGAGTGCAATAATTACCTTACACATGCCATTAAAAAATTATAATGAGAATTAAATACTCAATTTTTTACTCATTAATACCATCGTACAGCTGTTTTACATTTTTTTTATGTATAAAATACTTATTGTTTTCTTTTGTATCAACCCGAATAAATAAATGCAACCAATCGATTTCCACCCTAAGAATTAGTACTTACTACGAAGAAGAATAATTTAAAAAAAAATTCTATCTATCTCTTAACTTTAAAAAAAAAGTAGGCTAATTTTTATAGAGACGTTTGTGTTAGCCAAAAAATCTCAACAAATTTAACATCATAAACATGTCAATTGGTTACCAGTAAAATTCTATAGATGTTCAGTAAGTAAGGAAATAGGGTTTCTATTGTTCTCATTGTTTGTAACAATTGACCTGTTTTCTTACTTTTTGAACACTCTGTATAACGTTTTTTATTCATTTAATAATTCCAGTGGTTGGTTGCGTTAAATAACACTATTAGTATTGATATCACCAGTTTGATGTTAAATTTTACGGGGCGCGGAGTAAATCATAATTGGGAGCGCCTGTGCCGTACAATTTTTATTTGTTTGAAAGGGGTAATAAAAGTTGTGCTCGTGTATATCCCCTAAAAACAAAACCCTTATTAAGACATTACTATGTGTGAGGATCCACTAGACCTAACACAGAGTCTCGCTCTTACACCGGCACTGGATATTACCACGATTAAACTATTTACCAATTTTTATTCAAATAGTTATGTCGATTAAAAAAAATGTATCTAGTTTATTGGTTTTCCCATGTTACATCCAAATTCAACGGTGCAAAACATTGAATTTGTTTAACCGAATGTTGAGTTGTTAGCAATATAACATAGTATGTTCTACATTCGACTAATGAAAATAAATTAAAACCGTCGTAGGTGTTTATATTGTTACATCAATTAACATATTTCTTAAATAGGTAAATGATAGCATTTATTTTATTAATAAACATTATACCAGGTATGAAAAATCATTATTATTCATCGAAATCGTATAATGTTTTACGAGGTGTTGTACAAAAATAATTCGATGAACATTTGCGCGACTGTTTAATGATGTTATTATTTTTCAATTATCCTTTGACCCAATATCACAAATTACATTATAAATACGAAATTCTACTTAAACTAGCCATTTCCTTTTTAATAGCTGTTACTATCTCAATTAACTTACTACGCATAAATTATAAATCTTAATCAATCAAAGGAAAGCTGTTTGTTTACTAGAATTTTCTTATTTAATTGCTCAAACAATAACTTACTGATTTATGACAGTAAATTTTTCTATGAATTTAACCAATAACAAAGATAAAGGGTAATTAGGGATCTATTAATACTATTAGAGACTCGTCGAGGAGGCCAACTTGATACGTTAACGAGAAAACGAAGATTATTGAATTGTTCTTATCTCCATAAGTATTATTTATGGAAACATTAACATCTATAGGATAAAACAAATTTAAAAAGCACATTAAATTACTACGGCTGAGCATTTTACGAGTTGATGGCAGTGGCGTAATTATAAGAGGCACAGAGGACATGCCTTCTATTCTGCCCTATTATGTTGATAAAAGAGTAAAAAAAAAATGCATGATATTTTCTCAAATAAAGAATGGTTTGTGCTCCCTTTCTCAATAGAGGTCTAGCCAAGGGCACAAAAAGGACTATAAACCCTTAGAAAAAATTCGAAATACGCCGCTACTTATTAATTTATAAACACGCTCCTAGGTATTGACATGCTATTTTAGGATTTATGAGTCATTGTATTGATTATAAGATGTATTCAAACAATAAAACTTAAATGTAAACTATTCAAAGTTTAGTAGATTAGGTACCGATATCGATGATTATAGAGTCAATATAATTGTCTCCAAGACATTTTATGTCTTTAAAATTTATGTTCTAAGATTCAGGAGAACCGTCCGAATACATAAATTATAAATTTTAATAAAATACGAAGAAATGTGTTTTTAATTACGGCTCTTCTATAAAATTTAATCATAAAAAAAAAAAACGCTTAAACCATTATGCACACCAGAAAGAGCAAGTAAACTTTGACCTCGGTTTTAAAGTTTAGATATATAATGATTTAATTGACAATAAATATATATTTGCAAGTCATTAAATAAATATAAATTAAAAATCGTTGTCGCCTATAAAAGTTTAATAAATGACAAGAAGCAGTGTTTGTTATTAGTTTTGCAACAAAAGGATCTATGGTCGAAAATCGTACCAAGGGACGCTGAAAAAATAAAAAGCTAATTGTTTTATTCTTTGGAAATAAATTTGATTATTGTTATTAATATATAAATAAAACACAAACGTTATTAAACAGTTCACTTATTTTGTATTATGTCATCATATGGTGTTTACTGCCCTAGTGCACTGCCCGTGCCCGTTACAATACGCTGTATAGATAAATCGATAATGACAACATGCTACACTTATGGTGTATTTTATGTACAACATGCATTGACAAAATGTAATGCTAACGATGCATTTTTGTGTAATTAACTTTTTAGAAATATTTACAACAATAGCTGTAAATCAAAATATTAATCTACAACGTTTAAATGTCTTTTGAATATCAACTCAATATTGAACAGTTAATCACAATTTATAGAAAACTCAATCGTCAGGAAACCTCAAAAGACTAAACTTGTACTCAGTAACCAGATCGATATATTTTAATTAAGTATTGTAATAAATGAGGTATTCATTATTTCCAATTCGACCAGTAATATTTTAGTGACAATTATTGTCTTATTATAAGACAATAATATTTTTTCAAAACTAATTATCCATTAAAATTGTTATAATAATTGGTTGTTCATTAATATTAGTTAAACATGGGTGTATTGCAATTAACAAACTTTATGCTAACTATATTGGTCTAAAAAAATTGACTAAAGCACTACAAAAAAGTATGTGATGCAAGGATATAAATTTCAATTAAAATCCATAAGACATCTAGTACGAAAAAAAACTTATTTTAAAAATTTCCTTATGTCTATTTCAAAGATAAGCATACTAAGTTTTTATTCGACATTTCTAACAAATTGCAAATACAATTCTTTAACGAAATAATCATACGCTTAATTTCAAAAATATTAGTTTCAATATTAACTTTCATAAATAAAATTGCCATTATTATGTAACTCAACTCGCTTTATAATAAAATAAATGAATGAACAATGACATTTGAATGCAACAACTTCCGACTCCGGTTGATATTAATCTAATCCAATAGTGTCATTAAGCTTAAATAACAAAAAATGTTTTATATTTTTTAACATTTGAAATTTTTATGTCATATTTTTATTGAAACCTTGGCCAACTATAAGCGATATTTACTAACCATTTATAAATGTATCTAAATCATTAAAAAAAACATGCATTATAAAAAATCTATTATAAAATTCATTTAAGAAATAATTTAATCTATGGGGAAATATGTTGACTCTATATATAAACTTTAATTATTACTCGATGAACACATCTCTGATTTACAAATCCTAGTACAGATATTTTTGATGATTACCACGTGAGATAAGAATACATTTTCATCAGTGATGAGAGCAGATAGAGATAGGTATCTACTAACCTCTATTTGAGTGACCATGACACTTATCCAACATAAACATGAAACTGTAATCATTTTAAATATATTTAACTTACGAGTTAACTTTTTGAAAACAAATAATTATTTTACAAACACACAGAATCGTGTAGTTGCGACGATTTAGTACAATTATTCACAGACTTGTAATTATATTAAGATGATCGTGGAAGTAGTTATACAAACATCAAATATTAAATAGAACATTTAGTAAAATAAATGACAAACTTAATTTACATAAAAATTAATGCTTTTTAAATGTATTTGTACACTTGAGGTACTTACATACTGAGCGTTTTAACCGCACACGACTAGAATAAAAATTCGCATAGAATTTTTATTCACACCATAAAAATCGCGTTCAGCCGCCAAAAATCGCTCATAATTGGTTTTATGCGATTAATCTCCTAGTGTGTAAATACTTTAAAAACTGTTTGACGCTCACAGTGTGATATCCAAAATGTACCTCAACTTCCGATTTATTTCATTACTTATTTTTTAAAATT